ATATATATATATATATATATATATATATTTATGTATGTGTGTGTATGTACATATGTATGTATATATGTGTGTGTATGTATATATGTATGTATATATGTGTGTGTATATGTATATATGTATGTATATATGTGTTTATATGTGTATATATGTATGTAAATGTGTGTATATTTATATATATATATATATATATATATATATATGTGTGTGTATATGTATATATATGTATGTATATGTATATATGTGTGTATATGTGTATATATATATATATATATTTATATATAAATATGTCTGAATATGTATATATATATATATTAGGGATGCACAATCCACTTTTTTTTTATTCCAATCCGATCCCGATACCTAGAACTGAGTATCGGCCGATACCGATCCAGTTCCAATTTCATGATCATCATTCATTTTATATGAGGCTGTAATAATCTCCTCTCAAGTACAATTTGTACAAATATATGCATGCATGTCAAAAAAGGCAACCTGAGGTAAGTTGTATTAATGTTGTATAAGTTTTATAGTTAGAATTAAAGTCTGCTATCACAAAACATGTTTCGTTTTATTCCTAGCTTTAAAGTGAATATTAAAGTGATTAATTTAAGTGTAAGATTGTTTAAAGTTGTTTTATATTTTATAAGGGACAGTTATAAGAATTTTTTCTTCTTTCTGCACTCTTTTCATTCAATGTTTTCTTTTTGATGATTTAAAAAAATTGTTTCATTTAAATGAATGAATAAATGAATTAAATTAAATGGTAAATGGCTTCAAACATCTGCTAAGTTCATGGCATAAACCAACAGACATGTTCCTGTTTTTAGTATTTTACATCACTTTATAATGTAGCTGTTTATGTTTTTAGTATATATAATTTTCTAATCATGTTTTTTATGATTGTCTACTGTTGTACTGATAAATATCTCCTGGAGGGTAAACTATATCTTGACTGCAAGTATCAAAATAAGAAATCCTTCGTTTTCTACAACTGATAGTGGTTGGTCATTAATTATGATGAAGTTTAGCAACTTCTCTGTAAACATTTGAGCTCTGTGGCTTCAGCGATGTCTACTTCTTGTTCAATACGAAGCAAGCAGCCTGATTTGTGGGGAGTGGTGGCGCAGAGGTTAGAGAGGTGGGCTTGTGATCCGAAGATCGCCGGTTCACGCCCCGGCCCCGACAACATCAAAAATTGTGGGTGGGGTAGGTGAAACACCCACACTTGCCCCCACCCTCATTCGCCCCACTCTGGGCCCATGAGCAAGGCCCTTAACCCCACCATGTGCTCCCTAAACAGGTCTCTCTTGAAAATGAGTTCTCGTGGCTCAATGAGACTAACCTGGATAAATAAAGGCTAAATGAAAAAAA